GCAAAACAGAATGATGAAAATTCCATGGTAAATATGTCACAACTTTTCATAGGCTCGACAGAAATTCCTAGAGTTATTATTTAGAGATAAGACAACCACTTGAAGGTTGTAGCTTCCACAGTAACAAAACACTCTTCTACGTGGATGAGTTGTGGCTCCTTCAGCCTCCCATGGGAGGGTACATACAGCTTGTCCTCAGTAGACCTCTCAATCCTTGCTCTCACAGCTCTATTCTGAAGTATGTCTATTTCCTGTACCTCTCAGAACATTTTCCCAGCTTGCTTCCTATTTCACATTCCATCCCTGTCCCACTGTGATGCCTGTGTACTCTGGGCTAGCTACTACCTTTCATTCCTCTAGGCCAATACCCTTTCTTCTTTGATGCTCTACTTGAAGCTCTGGCTTCATCAGAAAACATTTTCATGTCCCTTTGCTGTTATCCAGGCATTCTTGGTAGGAATTTTATCTCATCCTTCGCTCAAACCATAACTTCTATCCTTTTATGGAGAATCACAGTCAAGACATTTCTTCTTTCCATAAAGAACTGTGCTCTGTGCCAATACTTGTTGTCAAATACAATTTTATTTATTTATAATTCTAATTATCTTCTTACTGGACAAGTCACTGGCTTATGCAAATGTTTGTTCAGTTCTAACCAGAAGAATGAGTATTTATTTCTAAGATTTCTTTAACTTGATATTATCCGTCAGACTTGCAGATATATCCAGCCTTTTGACACTGCAATGTGATGTTGTCTTCTACAAAATTCATGCTCAAGGATACACAATTTAGTTTCAAAGAAATTGTAAACAACATCTCAACGTTTTAAGTATACTTCCAATTTTGTACTGGGGTGCATCCCTAGCTACTCTCAGCTACATGTGGTCCAGGAGCTTCAGGGTGGATAGAGCAAGAAGCAGTGTGAAAGAGAAACAGTACCAGCTCTGTTTATCATTGTATCCTCAGTGGCAACAATGGCTAGTGCTGAGCTGAGAGATGCTTAGTAGACACTCAGAGGAACACATGGCTCAAGCCACATGATACGTGAGTTTAGATGTGGACATGTATATTCACAGTCTTTTGTGTCACATGATGTGTAGGCTCTACTTCTCTGTCACAGATCATATATGTTATACCAATCTCAAAAGTAAATATCCAGTAAACTCACCTAATTTATATGAGTGAAATTTTATACCTTTCATATTAGCATTTTGGAAAACCAAGTTCCTTAGGGTATTTTTTTTGCATGTATATTTTGTATTTTTTTTTTGCTTCTATACCAAGTATAGAAGCCCTCAGTGGGAAGATAAATAGGAACTCCCTTTATTATTCATCCATTTCAGTACCCAGCTGCATATGTATAAAATAAAGGTTTGAAGGATTACCCAAACACCCTTTCCTCTCCTTATTCTGTGAGGTAGGCAAACCTTTCCACCAGACACTTTTACTGTCCTCTAGTTAATCAGTTAAACAATAAAAGGTTATAAAATGCTATAGCAATATTTGTAGAATATGGTGATTATAAAAACTTAATACGAAGTAATAAAATTTAAAAATGAGATGTTTCCAGACAATTTCTCATACTAATCTCTCATCCCTCATCCTTGCTGTGTCAGCAACTTTGAGAAGTGGTACCCAACCAACTTCTTGGGGTTCATTTCTAATTGAACAACTTCTGTCTTGGATACCACCATCATCATTAACTGTTTTATGAGAAGAAGAAAAGGAAGTGTTGATTATTGCTTGTAATAATAAGGAGAAAAGTAATAATGATAAAATGCAAATGTTGACTGATACTTGGTCAATACTAGGACTCTGTACTATGTTCTTCTATGAAATCGTAAGAAAGTTCATGCTACTAGCCCCATTTTTTCACTGATAAAAGTGAGAATTAAGGCAATAGTTTTGTACAGCTCTAATTGAGAAAAGCAGCATTTTTGCCTCATGTATCTGTTATCTTATAATCCATAGAACGGTTAACTGGGCTTATGATTAAGTACATTTTTATTCATGACATAAAAATTACCAAATAAAACATACCACATGAAACTAATAAAACACACAGAGAACAAATGAAAGCATGAGTCTTTACAGGCTCCTGCAATAGACATTTTCTAGAAAATTAAATTTAAGCCATATATATACATTTTATATGTTATATCTCCTAATTACCAAAAGCCTGTTCTATAAAATGATGATGACAAATAAAAGGTATCTCTTTTGCTCTTTATTGGTGAGTCCAAATTGTATAAAAAGCTCACAAAGAAAGTGATATTTGCATTAAATGGCACTGCAGAATGACTGGACCCTAACATGGACAAATATAGGATTATAACACTTCAGAGACACTGGAGTCTACCATGAACACATAGACACATATAGAGGATTATACAACATACATAATGATGTGCTTCACTACCTGTTAAATGCTAATTCTTAAAAATTTAAAACTATATGTTTAGATAATAAGTAAAACAAATATCTGATTTATCACCCAGTTAGGTTAATTATTATTCAGAGACTTGTTCATTTTACTCAGAGATATGAGCAATACCAAAAGGGTGCAGAAGAAAATAATCCATTTCAAAGCACCTTCATCCCTCTTTTCCTCCACTTTTTCAGTTCAGAGCGTTGCAGAGACCCGTTTCCTGTCCCATGATAGCAGATGATACATCATGTGTGGAGCGGAGAAAGCCCCCGAGTGAGTGACTGTATACTTCGACATGGATGCATCCATGTTACAGACTCCGAGAGCAATCAACTCATGGGAAATTGGCTAAGCTGTTACCCGTATGGGCTTGGCTCAAGATGAATGGCAAAGCTTTCCTCGGGGAGTCTGAGTATGAGTGTTTATGAAAAATTGATCAGTGTGTACAGATTAGCAGCTGTGGCTTCCTCCTCCCGGATGTCCACAGACTGAGCCTGCCCACTTACAGAGACTACGGAGTCTAACGAGCCCCTGGACTGTACCTAATAAACATGCTGAGGTCCAGGTTGGCAGTGGTAGGAAAGCCCGCCCTGATCCCAGCTTTGCTGTGTGTGCCTGTGTGTGTGTCTTTTCTTCATTCCTTCCATACCCCTAGGGAGGGGGCTAGAACCCAAGCCACTCGGGCCTTGGCAGCTGAGATTGTTAGATAAAGCAGGAATGCCTACTTCTCAAACTTGCAAACTGAAATTCCTGAATCAGGAGATTTTTAACTTTGTTAAAACAGGGCAAGTGAAACTTATTTGAGTGCTATGAAGAAATTTAATATTGATAAAATAATAACTTCCAGTGGTGAACACACAGCTCTGTATGGATGTTTATAAACATTCTGCCAAGTTTTCAATCATATATCATTTCTCAATATTGAGTCCTACCTTTTACCAGAAGCAAAACAACCATGTTTCCTAGCATTTTATGAGAAGACAGTGGTTTATGCATTCATCGATCATGTTTTAATCATGGGCCTCAGTAGTAACACAGTGTCAGAGCAAAAAGCAATATTGGGAAAGTCTGATCCTAGAACTGTGTTTGCCGTCTGAATACACAAATATGCACTCAGTTTCATAGGGAGTGAGTCAATACTATGAGACTTCATATTTGCAGAGGGGGGCTTGGTGCTTAGATTTGTATGTAGGAGAGAATAAAGATATGGGATTTACAATTTTTCTATTAAATCTCTGCATAAAGCAATAGCTTACAAGCAGAGTGTAACTCCATATATGGATGCACAGCTACCACAACTAATGAAGTAACTAAATATTATCACATGAGCATGTGACAAGGTATCTTCTTCCCCCCCCCGAAAAATGAGACCCTTAATAATGTATTTTAAAACATTCCCATTCTAACTCACCTTGTTATTTAAAAACCATAGTAACTGAATTAGCAGATGATTAAAAAAAACCCAATCTATATAAAATTTTACAAATAAACGTATTTTTTACAGGTTGTGGCGGTCTGAAAGAGAATGCCCCCCATAGGCTCATATACTTGAATGCTTAGTCACCAGGGAATGGAGTCGTTTGAGCAGGATTAGAAGGATTAGGAGGTGTGGCCTTGTGGCAGGAGGTGTGCTCTTGCTGGAGAGGGTGTGTTGCTGGGAATGGACTTTGAGATTTCAAAAGTCCATGCTAATCCCTGTCTCTCTCTCTCTCTGCTGCCTGTGGATCAGGATATAAAGCTCTCAGCTACTGCTCAAGTGCCATGCTGTTGCATGCTTCCTGCTGTTATGTTCATGGACTAACCCACTGTAAGCCAGTCTTCAATTAAATGCCTTCCTTTATAAATTGCCTTGGTCATGATGTGTCTTCACCATGAACAGAATAGTAAATAAAGACAGGCTCTCATTATATAACATTGGCTGACCCGGACATCTCTATATGTCAGGCTGGCCTTGAACTCTTAGAGGTCCACCTGCCTCTGCCTCCAAGTGCTGTGATTAAAGGGACATTCCACCATGCCTGGCTTAATCATTTTGATATCAATCTAACTTAAAAGGAACTCAAAAATAAGTGTCTAGATCTCAGGCAATTCATCTTCATGGCATTTTATATTACTGTCATCTAAAAAGTTCAAGTCTGAACAACTACAAAAGAAATCCTTATTTACTTCTAAACACTCACAATGACCAAGGTCCATAAAAGATTTCTGAACTTTCATTTCATACATAATTCTACCATGCACAGGCTGCCCCTCCTATTTTTACCATTTAAGGAAAGCATTATTTTGTAAATTTTAAGATATCAAAACTCTGACATGAAATGACTCAGTAAATAAGTATATAGACTGAGTTCAGCTAAGGGAATTGCCATACATATGTGACTGCTCCTAAGCAGGTTTCTACTCAGTGTGGCCAATCAGATGGTCTTCGTGGTTCTACACAGAGATTCTTTGAACATAGTTTCTACACACAATCCAGGTTCCAGTCGATGAAAAAAAAAAGAGAAAGAAAGACAACAGAAAAACACATGGTTTTCTCTAGTGCGAAAACCCAATGAGACTTTGTGTCTCTTACCTTTGCCATGGCTTCTCCCATCCTCCAGGAGCGGCACAACGATAGTGTTGTTCACATTTCCAGGTGACCGTACAGCTGTGTAGACAACCGGCACTGACTGTACCACCACAGGGATTCGATGAACATGACTGAGTTTGTTAGACTGTAAGTTCATGGGACTGGAAGGTGGGACAGGATGAATGATGTGCAAAAACTGCTGGCCGCCCACACCAGATGCAGAGGCAACAAGGGGTCCTGGAGATAACACTGTTGACGAAGACGATGCTGAAGATACTGATGTTATAACAGTGGGGGATGAGGCTGGACGACTAGAAGATGATGAGGAGGTTGAAGTTGAAGAAGGTGAGGAGGCAGACGCTGTCATGGAGACTGGGGAGGATGAAACTGCGGTAGGGGAGGTCCTGGCTTTGTTGATTGACAAGTCCACTGGCTCAGTTTGTGTCTGGAAGTGATCTACAGGCAATGAGTCCTCTGGGGGCTCCCCTTTCACATTATTTAGCAACAGGGGAACAGCTTCCATATCGGGGTAGTTGTGGACGTTTGGAGACTGCAGGGAGAAAATGGAATAGATTTATCATTATTAACGATATATTTCAATAGATGCATGATTTCTTACTTGAAAGCATATTAAATTTTTCCCTATTTCAGTGGGGCCTTAGTTTATTCACCCAAATATTCAAAATTTTTTTCTTTAAATCACAATGATGTGAAAAGCACAACAGAGTAAGAAAGTCTTTCAGCATGAGGACATTTCCATTCCATTGGGAGGACAAACACACAACTCCTTAAGCTACACCCACTGTTTACACAAGAGGTCACAGGAATTTCAAAATGATCAGTGAACTCATATGGAATTTTCTAAAGACAAGCCCGGGGTATCAAGCTTCATCTCAGAATTGTGTAACCAAGACTGATCTAGTTAAAACATCCCTTTGCTCTTCTGAGTCTTGCTGCACTGGGAGTCTGGGTGAGTGTCTTCTGAAGAAGGAAGGAGCGTTTTCACGAGATGAACTGAAGCATCGTCCCCGGCTCTGGAGTTGCACAATGTCATGAATGATTTGACCCTTGTGCAACACGATCCTGATCGAGAGACAAAATCCCATCCAGCAGCAATCTTGGGAAACTCGCTGTGACCTTTCTGCATTTGTGGTCAGCACAAGAGCTACCCGGACATGCTCATTCAGAGAAGGCACACGGAGTTCTCTAGTCTCCCAGCACGGGTTGTCAAGTTACCAAAGTTGAATCATTTGAAATGGTTGAATTCTAACCCTCAGTGCCTGATATGGCGTTTTTTTTTTCCCTCTTAAGATATTGCATGCAATTATGACACTGAAACCTGAGGAAAGTTTTCAGAAAATCCTACACAAGTAATTTTAAGTTGTTTACTCACATTTTGTTTGACTTAAAATGGTGATTTTTATTTAGGTTCATTTGTATTTTTATAAGTTTTAATGAGAAAAATTTAATTATAAACTCCCTACAGTTTAACACACTAATATTCTCAGCACAGTATTAACGGGCACGAGTCCACATCTATTAATTCCTAAGTTGAGCAAGTATATATGAAATGCACACTCCTGGGACCAAAGGGTCCACGTTCTATTGGAGTGTGTGAGTAGAGCCTTGACACAGAGAAGCAGGCCACAGCAGATTATTTGGTTACATCTAATGTAACCAAGTCAACACTCACGTTAGTATTATTCTATTAGATGAAAACCCCAAATTGTTATTTTCAGCTATCTCATGGTATCAGAACAACAGTTATGTTACATCGGTCATTTACATCTTCATTTCATGAAAGTTTTTCATTTGCTATTCTCTTGAAAACATGAAAATGCATTTCAATGTTTTTTTAAATTATTCTTAACAACTTTCATTATACAATATAAATTATAGTTCTGTTCAAAGCACACAAAGGCAGGAGTGCGAGGGCGTTTTATTCAGTCACAATGCAAAGAGAAAGAAAAACATATCAACAGTGGTACCAGAACAAATGAAAGGAAAAATGGGTTGATGTTTTAATGCCTTTTACCTCTTCTTGGCTAAAAGGGTTGCCTGCAAAAGCATATGAACTAGAAATACAAAAGCTGAGTGATCTATAATGCTTCCTGTATGGAATTCTAACTGGGATTTGCACTTTAGGTACTAAAGCAGAGAAACAATTTTATAAACCATCCCAAATGCATTAAGAAACAAACAAATAAACAGTAAAACACTATAAATTTCAATACTTTTTTGCAAATTTGTAGACATTACCACACCTCCTATTAGAGCAGAATGTTGGTTTATTCTTGGCATCATCATTAAAGTTTTGTTTTTGTAGGATAATATGAGTTATTTCTTATCAGTTTATTCATATACAGAAAGTCCTTGATATGCTTTCCTGACAGATAGTAACTGGTTCATAATCCAAAATTTAAATCATTCAATGTATTATTAAACAGTACCAATCTCTTTGAGTACATATACTCTTGATTGGTTATGAATTAGACAAACTAGAGACTCTTAATTGGAAACAATGGTTATTTCTACCTTATGTAGGAACAGACCTTTACAAAGAGAGGGTTGAAGAGTATTTCATCCCTGTAGAAGCAGTTCCAAAAGGAAATGAAATAGTGCATGGGCAGATAATGACAAGGGAAATGGGTCATACAGAGCTTATGGAAAGCGGTGGCTTCCACGGCACCAGGCATCACTGTGCTTTGAAGTATCCCAACTGCTCTGTATTGTGACCAAGAATTCCACCATTTGCATGGCACTATCTAATCCCCAACTGAGGACAATACTTCTTTCATGACCATGGTATAGCATCAGATAATGGCTCCCTCTCTGTCCCACTGGATAGACTAGACTGTTATAGACAAAACATAGAGAACTCCTAACTCTTCCCAGATGCCTGAAAATCATAGCTTTCTTCTATGCTCTGAACTGCTGGATCAAGCACTGGAGGCTTTGGGAAATGATGCATAAATTTATAACCACAAATATCACAGAGACACATGGTACCTTTTCTCTAATATACAGTTAAAATGAAGCCAGTATATTAAATAATTATGCTCAATCAGTATCAAGACAATAAAATCTTTATTGTGCCCTTCATCTGCTTTCAGTGTCGACAGGGCATCCCCAAACCATTACTAATCCCTTGAGACACACAGTGTGGCAAGTAAGCTGTTCAAACTTCCAGCTTTGGGCAGTACACACCTGTTTGTAAAGTCAGCGATGTTACAAGACAAGGCCTCTAAATAGCTATGACATCTCACCCTCCTCGTTTTAAGAAATGGGGAAGACCTCCAAGGCTCAACCCTGGAATCACCATTAGGAATTCATCTCTTTGCTTTCCGAAAGTGGGAAATCGAAACGCATTCATTTTGAGGTTTGGATCCCTAAGTGGGAAGCTGGAGTGAGATGCTGGGAACACATGTGGCTGCCAAGAGGGGAAAGATGGAAAAAGTGCTGAAGAAGCTGAGGATCCCATGAAGGATGGGAGCGGGGCAGGCCTGGAAGGGGAAGGCACATCCAGGAGGCAGCAGAAATAAACAAAGATCAGAAGCTCTGCAGGAGATGCTTCTGTGAAAAGAGCAAAGGAAGAATTGCATGGCACGATTTCACTTCTCCAGCAACTGCTCATTTCTTGACACATCCATGAACATCTATAGCAGTACCGACTAAGTTGTTTTGTGGTCTTCCAATACACAAAGATTTTGGCTTGGGACGCTGTCATATAAGCTGAATTTCACTGTTGATTCCCTTGGTATGGAAGATGGAACTCTTACTACATTCTCACTGGCAAACAAAAACAACCAACTTCCTAATGCCACTGGGAATGTATGGGAATAAAACTGGATTTTTGTCCAAGAGGAATGTAATTTCAGTTTCTGGAAAGTTATATAATACCCCTTGGAAGGGTCCACCATAAAATTTCATCTTTTTAATAATGCTTTAGGAAATAATAGTGTAAATATATACAGAAGTCCAGCAAGATAAATCTAACAATATACTTCACATACCCTAGAAAATTTGCATGCAAGCCAAATTACAAGCAGGAGTACCTATTGCATTATTACTTTCTCCTCATGTCATAAAATTGGTTTTACACTTAAGGATCCACGTGATAAAATGTTACACACAGCATCATAGTGACATGCTCACTTAAGTGTCTGCAGGGGCAGTTGATCTTGCTAATCAATAGCCGTCTCCCTGAATAAACAGTTTAAAATGAAACTTCAGCTTTAGGCATTTTGTTGAAGGAGTGTACAGAGGAGCCCCCAGCCCCTCTATGTTTTCCCCCTTGGAGGGTCCTAGAGATGCTTCACATAGCCAGATATTATCAACAGCTGGATCTTATTCTGGTCTGACATGGGACAAATGGTATCTTTGATTGAGATAAAGTATTTTGATCACCTGCAAATCTTAAAAGAAACAACTACGTGTGGACACCACCCTCTCTTTGAAAACCCCTGAGGAGTCTTCTGGTTGAGGATTTGAACAAAAGGCTATGATATGCTATCCAAGATGTATATGGTGCCTGTTGCTATACCTTTATTGGGACTGGAGAGTTTCAGGAATGTGTTACATACACATAGTACAATGACAGCTATCTAGCTATCACTAAAATAAATTAGGTTTTATGTCACTTTTACAAAAATTTTGAGCAATAATTTCCAACCAACTTTTAGGAAATGTTACAAAATGATTTACCTAACATGTCTGCTACCTAGGAAACAAATCTTTTGTAGGTTGTTCTGAAATAGTACAAAAAGAAAGTGAGACTTGGAAAAGAAGTCCAAAGATTTGAATTCATGGCGTAACCCAGTTTACTTTTTATCAGTAGTGTCATGTTGAATTCCCTAAATTTTAGGATTTCAGATAAGAAAAGAGGACTATTAGTCCCAAATTTGTAAAATTGCTCTGAAGAAAGAACTGATGGCATCAAGCTCTTGTAACAGTAAAAAGAGACTCAACTGATCAATTTTTTTCTTCTTGGAGGTAAAAACTGCAAACGAAGCCAACATATTGTGACAAGTACCTCAGAGCTGAGTGATTCAACCTATTCCAGTGCAAGATTACAAAAGGGCTCACTGAAAAGGTACAGGCCTTGCAAAGCAAGGAGAAACACTTTACAAAATAGAATAAGCTGTCCTCGGGACGTCATATGGTCAAAAATATCCTGAATATTTCATCTTTTTTTGATTAGTCAGATTGATCCATAAGAAAGCCATGTCATAGCCGCTAGAACACATTTTATCTGATTGATTCCTCAATGCTACAATATGAACAACTGCAAAGAGCATGGTTGCTTCTTCTCTCACAGCAGGAATTTAGTTTCTATGAAGTTCACAATGTGTCTCAACCCTTAGACATGTGGCTGGAGAGATGACTTGGTAGTTAAGGCTGTGTGCTACTCTGTAGTTCAGTTCCCAACACTCACAGCAGGTGGTCCACGGCCACCTGCATCTTCAGAGCCAGAGACTCCAGAGCCCTCTGTGGGCTCCCTGGGTACCTTCACTCATGTGTATGCGTGTGTTTACAATTTTTTACACCTTT